GGGTACATCATGGGAATGCCGAAATTCAAAATGTTTAGAACAGAGTCAGCGAACTTCTTTGTGTGGAGTCCGGTCAAACCCTGGTGGCAGCCATGTTTGTTTTTATTATTAGATGACGCTTACGTGCATAATCATTCCATATTTAGAATTTGCATTTCTTTATATGGTAGGATGAAAATACCCCGTAAAATACCACAAAATTACGGCAAGCTGTAACTTTAATGGCGTTACAGTGACAGATGTATAATAATAATATGTAGTTTGCATATGTATATAGTCAGATATATTTACATTAATCGTTTGTTTCTTTATTGTTCTGTGGTCAAGTATAGGGAGAACACATGTCACTTACTTGGGATAAAATTATGTGTCTTTGGTGTAACCTTTCCTTTGTGCAGTGTTTTGCTTTGTAACATTGTAGATATCTTGTGTTGCAACTGTAGGTGCGAATACTGAACCATGTGACTTGGAAGACTGTAGTGTGTCATCCACATCCAACAACAGTTGAAAATGGTGCAGTGGTAAGTCTCTCATTCTGCTGTTAAACTTATTTAGAGCGGGTTTCAAGCAGTGTGTCTTCTAACAAAACTGATTTTGTAGAGATTTCAGAATTTACAGCCTGTGACATCTCAATCTCTTATTCTGGTCATAATGCAGTCATTCAACTGTGTACACATGATGTCTACTATCCTCAGGTTCAGGGTTTCCCATCGAGATAATACATTAAACCTGATTGGTCGTAGAATTCTAGGAGTGGCATCCTCAACAAATCACTGCCAGCTTTACATTACATTACAAAATTACAATTCTTAGCTATTGCTAGCAGTATACATCAAATAATTCTTTTCATTAATTTTGCAGGTTGTTTATAAGGAAATTGAGAAGAAACCTCCAACGCTAAGAGGAGAGTTAGTCGCACCTGATAGTATGATGTTCAACATCCAGAGTAAATGTATGTAGACTGGTAACCAAGTATTAAACTCTTTTGGAAGACACACTGTACAATTAGTTTGTTATAATGAAGTGTTCACTATAATGAAGCACATAATGCATTGGGTTTGTTATGGTGAAGTGTTCACTATAATGAAGCACATAATACATTGGGTTTGTTATAGTGAAGTGTTCACTATAATGAAGCACATAATACATTGGGTTTGTTATAGTGAAGTGTTCACTATAATGAAGCACATAATACATTGGGGTTTGTTATAGTGAAGTGTACACTATAGTGAAGCACATAATACATTGGGTTTGTTATAGTGAAGTGTTCACTATAATGAAACACATAATACATTTGGTTTGTTATAGTGAAGTGTTCACTATAAGGAAGAACATAATACATTTCGTTTGTTATAATGAAGTGTTCACTATAATGAAGCACTTAATACACTGGGTTTGTTATAGTGAAGTGTTCGCTATAATGAAGCACATAATATACTGGGTTTGTTATAGTGAAGTGTTCGCTATAATGAAGCAATAATGCATTGGGTTTGTTATAGGGAGCCATGCAACCAGGAAATTCATTATATAATATGAGATATACAGTCAAAACCTTTAAAGTGACCACCTTAGACAGTTATTTTGTAAAAACTGGAAATTTTCAGTCAAACATTGACAGGTTTCTAAAAATTCAGCCTGTCTGTCAAATGATTTTGTTGTTTCAATCTAAAATGCCAAGTGGCTGACAGAAAGGCTGTTGAATAGTCTGGTTCAGTTGATATGGTTTATTGTATGCTGCATAGAAAATGAGAAACACAGAATATAAATTTGTTATGCAGTTGTGATCAGTAGCCATGAGCAAATATTTAGAAAAAAACCAATATATTCTTCTATATAACATGTGTATCGATAAAATAAAATAGAACTGGTCACAGAGTAAGATAATGAAATGAATCACACGGTTGTATTACATGGACAAATATTTACATTTCTCATTATTTGTCATTGATAGATGACGTATTACAAGGTTCTGTCGCCGTGCCAACCATTAAACCAGATCCCGATAAGGCAAATCCAAAGATAGGCATCAGTAAATTAGCTTTCAGCTGTGATAATAGATATCTCTACTCAAAAAATGGTAAGTAATGATCACTGCTTATCTGTTGTATACTTGTTTTCGCCCTCTAAGTCCATAAGGTGTTCCTTCATCTTTTGCCATCATGTCCACCATCTCAAATACTATGTTTTTTCTGACAGTGAACATGATGAAATTAGAGAATGGATCTCTATTTGAAATGCAAAAACAACTCACATAGTTGTCAAGAGCAATTTTGATATACTGTAAAATCTGTATTAAAAGCTGTGGCTTCTATTAAAATGGTACAATGCAACAGAGGGGATGTGGCTTCTATTAGAGCATCTGCACATATGAGAAATGATGAATTTTTGGTTCTCAAATATTCAAAATGAATGGGTGCGACTTCTATTGGGGATGCGGCTTCTAATACAGATTTTACGGTAGTTAGAATATTGCAATGTAATATTCCCCTCTCGAAGATCGGTTTTTCGACATTAAGCTTTTAAAACAGAAATCTGAATTCAAAATCAATTTAATTGAATTTTAAGACAGACTTTTGGTCCAAGCATTTTATGGGTGAGATCTTGTAGTGATCGAAAAATGATTGATTGAAAGCCATAATTTTTAATGATGGTGCAGCATTTTGTACCTTTTTCTATAATTTATTTGTTAATTTTGGTCTTGATGGAAAATTGTTAAAAATTGGGAAAAATTTTACAGTTGTGTATATACTGGTAACTTGAGAAAGGATTGAATGCTAAGTCTGCAGCTCAGGTACCAAATGTCATGAATGGATATGTTGGACCATTGTAACAAATTTAAAACTAAAATTCCCCTTTCTATGAAAACGAGTGTGACATCAATAGCATATCATATCGGAACAATTTTGGTTCAGAAGACAATATCGTGAAAGTTATGGTTTTGTGAATTTTTGTTTTTTCTACCAAACTTTAAACATCAAGCACTCAGATTTGTGGTATTGACTCTTGCGTCTTTATTCGCCATTTCAGATAACATGCCATGTGCCTTATGGATCTGGGATGTACATAAATTATCCCATATTGTACTGCTTATTCAGGCCAGGCCAATCAAATGTAAGTACCCAAAGTTTATTTATATTTTAGTTTTTAGTTTCTCTGTTCAGTCAAAGTCTGTTAAGTGGATATGACTATTATAGTTGTTACAGTGGAGCTTTGAACAGAACTCTTGCTTCAAATGATCGTGTACTTCTTTTATATAGTTGGTTTAAAAGGTTACTTGTGAGATTATGAACACTGAGGTGATTGTTATCAGTTTTGAAACATTGTAGTCAAATCTGTAGACTTGACTTGATGTCACTGAAATAGACAGTATGGCTGCAACCAATTTCAATTAAACCTGGTATAATAATATAATATATATGGGATTTATACATTTTTCCATTTTCATTATGTCATTATTTTTTCCCTACTAGGTCCTGTTTCTCATATTGTAGATTTAAGCTTCAAATAATATTAAAACACAATTTTGTATACTGTCTATGAGTTTTAAAGTCAGGTTTCAAATGTCTCAGATTGTGGTCTCACCACAGATGGCAGTAGACTGGGGAGTGTCAAGTAGAATTTCATTATGTTATATTGTGTTTTCAGGTGTTGAGTGGGATCCATGTCATCCTAGACTAGCTCTGTGTACAAGTAATAACAAATTATATATATGGTCCCCAGCTGGCTGCGTGTCTGTAGAAGTACCATCTGAAGGTAAGACTGGCTCATCCTGTGTGGTCAACAGTGTCAGAAATTATAGATATGTTAATAAATGCTTCCTCACACCTCAGACACAGTATATCGTCTTACAATTTTTGGGAATCCCAAATCAAAATGGTAATCTGCCCAAAATCAAGTCAGCTTGTTGACTGCTGAGGAGGTTGGCCTTAAAAAAAAAATGAAATTTTGTGTGACTATATTGGCGACTTGGTCCCTGATTTTCCACATATTTACCATACATCATTTCTTCTGTTTATAAAATGTGAATTTCATTTTACCAAATTACAAATTCCATAAATATAGTAAAATGAGATTTTTTTACAATCACTACATGTATATCAATGTATAACTTTCTGTTGCGTCAATGACATGCCCGTGAATTAGCACAATTAATTGCTTCAAAACAAATCTTTGTGTGTCAGTGGCATGTCATATCGGCTTTGAGGGGCACACTCTTCACACATCTGTACCTAGGTGTAATACAATGGATAGTGTTTACTTTGCTTCAAGGAGGTTGTAGAGTCGATCACTTCAGTCGCTTGCTTATTAGGTTTAGAAGACTTGCATCATATTGGATGGTTACCATAAAAACAGTTGAACATGCATGCTGTTGTTCATGTTCTTGATTTACCCCGTCATGCACTCCACAAAGTGAATTCCCTGTGTGAAAAAAAATTCTGATGTTTGATATATTTTATTTTGTGTTTATGTATTCGGTGCAATAAAATATTTACCCCAGTGTCGGTCAATATTCAGTTATAATGTCCCTCAGGGTTTATTGACCTCAAGACAAATTAAACTGAATATTGACCTCCACTTTTGTGTTTAGTACATGTACGGATGTCCATGTATATAATTTTGTACATGTTTGTTTACGTTGCAGCGACCTTTGCCGTTCACTCCTTGAGTTGGCATCCCGACGGAAATGCTATAGTCATGATTGGAAAGGATCATATGTGCATGTGCTTTATCGACACTGACGAGGAAAGCTGAAAATACACATTTTACAACTCAAGCCTGTATTTGTGGAAGTAATTGTTATTTCTAACTTAATGTACATATTCTCTGTAGCCTTTAATTGTAATAATGATGAAGGATATGCGAGGGCGGGGGTGTAAATAAAGCTGTTTTGAATGTGTGGAACTGCAAGATAATCAGAACTCGAATGTACGTAAACAGTGTGAGCGCCCTCTATCAGCACAAATTAGATTACTATTTTGAAGGGCTGTGGTAGTCAGGCAGCACTTGTTTGAATTTTTTGTTAAGAGACAATGTATTTCTTGCATGCTGTATATGTCACATGGACCCATCAAACCTTTAAACTTGAATTTGTGATCAAATTAGACATTTATTGGCTCATACAACAAAATTCATGAAACAGTTGAACATTTTCCTTTTTTTTTAGTTAATTGTATTTGATACTAATTCACTTATTTACACCAATCACTTATATTTAATTATGTTTACCAGTTTTAACTAGCAAGGCACTATTTATATTTTGAAATGCTTGATATATTCTTCACTGCCAAACGATCTCTCAGGTTTTCCGTTAAATCGATGTTTGTTCCGTTAAAGAACGTGAATGTAAGACGTACACAAGTTATCTACTGTACAGCAAGTACTACAGTTTGCTAATGAAATGATCAGGTTGGAATGGGCTATTCCACTTTCTATTTACACCCCCCTCCCCCCTTGTTGATGAGTCTAGAAAACGTAGATACTGTTTAACAGAAAAATATCATCTGGATTACTGGCAACACATGAAGAAGCAGACCATGAAATCTCACAACCTATGCATGATTTTCTCAACTAGCTTAGAATTGCATCTGTAAATGATGGCTAAATTAGTGGTTGAAAGTAAAGTATGTATGTTCCAGGTACAAATGGACAAAATATTAGTGGGGATGCAGATATAAAGTAGAATGGCTCATTGTCACGATGCTGGAAACTGAAATAGTTTGTATGTGGCAGAGTTAAGACTGCTTTTGAGTCCTTTTGATGTAAAAATTACACTACCTTTACTGTATTTGTATCTATAACATATACTGTTCATTTTTATCTAAAATTTACAAAATGTTACAAATGACCTTTAATATTAAAGTTGGAAACTGGATATTTTGAAATGACACTGCCCAATATTAGCAATACTACTGTCAAGTTTCAGTGAAAAGCTTGTTTATTCTGTCCTCTTTTTCACCAGTTATGCTCTAGCATATTGTACATTATTATAAATACTAATACACAAAGACAATATTAATACCCAATGTTGCATACATGCACATACTATTCTGTCCACGGTTGTATTAGACTTCATTTCATTATCTAGAAGATAGGAATGAATTGAAATGATATTTAATATATGCATTATTTTGTATCTATATATAACATGGATATATATATGCGGTCCCTGTGCATTAATTCAAACGTAATCCTCCACTTCCATAAACTTGTTTTCAAATGGTTGCTGATCTCTTACGAAGAGCAAGCGGGCCAGACTTGTTTTTGCCCCCCCCCCCCCAAAATGTTCCATTCTCTATCATCATTGCATGTGCTGTCGCCCTGATCTTGGTAGAGATTGGAACACTATTGGAGGGGGGGGGGCATTTGCGAATGATATCTATTCAGGTTTTTTTTCTTTTTTATGATAAAAACTGTTTTAAATAAAAAAGAATAAACAAACATGTGTATTTGTGAATGATCTCTTGATTGCTTCCTTAAAATATCAGTCATCTATGCAAATGCTGAAATATTTTTATTAAAACTAAATACAATTGGAGAGCAAAGTGAATGATGGACATGAAATAGGGCCGAATCCTGAATGTTTTTGTAACCAGTTCACGAAGATGACCTGCTGATATCAAACTCTGTATGATAACAAGACATTGTGTTGTAGGTGAACATTGTTATTCACGATGGCTGACCACCTGCCATTATGCTTTTACTCAGAACGTCTATTCTCTCAATCGAAAACTAACTCTTGTGGGCGCAATAACACAAATAGTTTTTATCCAATCCATTATATTAACCAGTTGGATCCCGGTCTAGTTTGATCTTGCTATGTGTTCGATGTATTTTCAACATATTGGTGAAATTTCATCTGAAAATATCTTCTGTTAATTTATCTGATTATCTTATAATTGGATCACCCACCAGCAAAGTCTTCGGCCACATCATACTGCAGTGCATAAGGCAGCGGTTGATGCTCTACTTCACAAAGAGCAGGCAGACTAGCAGTCTCATGAACGGAACAGCCCACTTTACATGGTTTTCGTTGACAGTTTGCACCACACTTCTCTGTGGAAGATCCCAAGACAGTCAATTCACAGAAATTTGTCTATGCCATCCAGTCTGACTTTTTACACACCCGTAGAGACCTTGCAAATAGCAGTTCACATAACTTTAGACTTTCCCACATCTTTACCGACCTTCCAGCAACTTTTGTTTATCGAAGTTTACTAACTCACCACAAAAATTTATCAACTTTCCGGACTTCACCGATTTTTTTTATAAAAATGTTGCCACTTTCCATGCAACTTTGTAGACTGTTCACATATATTTATCGCTTGTGTAACTTTATATCAACTTTCTACACAAGTTTGCATCAATCCCAGCAACAATTGCACATAAATTTAACTAGACTTTCCACACAATTCTTTTTGCCTTTCCGTGCACATATACAGACTTTGCACGAAGCGCCAACTTTACTGCACACTTGTAGACTTTCAAAGAAAATTTACAAACAAGTTTGCAAAGTATTTTTACTTTCATACTATCCATGTAAATTTATATATAATTTTCTCAATTATCAACTTTACACAGTTTTACTTATCGCATTATTTTTTACATAAGATTTGCAATATTCCGAGCAACGCTTATACACTACTTTGTGGACTTTCCATGCAATTTTACAGAATTTTCATTCGATTAGACCAAATTCCATGCAACATTTGCATCTTTCAACACCACTCTTAGTGCACATATTTACTGTAGTAAATTTATTTTGTTAGTCCCAGTTTTTTCACGCAAGAAAAATGTCAACTCACAATGATACATGCCATGTTATGGTAGGTTCCATACAACTCAAAATCCTTTCGTGATACCAATCCCAATAGATGTATTCAAATATTACCGGGATTACACGACTTCAGAAACAAATTTGAAAAGATGAAATAAGTGATTTATTTACTATACAAAACAAAATACAATCAATATAGACAAACATGCACACACAGTTCATTTTTGTAAATCAACTTTACAATGATAAAAATAAATTACTCTAATTTGTACAGGATCTTAATTTATATTAAACTTTGCATTTTTTTTTTAAGAATCATTCAGTGAAGAGAATTTGGAGGTTACTTTAATAAATTACATATAAAAGTATAAAAAAAGAGACCCAGAATTACCATTAGATGTACAGTATTATGTATGTAAAATTTATCACAACTAATATTTGGTATTCATGGTTTAGCGTGAATGTTTGAAAAATAATTTATTTGACATGCGTTGTATACGTCTCATGGGACCCATATGAATGTGATGTGTCATGACAAATACTACTCTTTAAACTAAATATTTTGTAGAATTAATGATATTCATTAGTTTGACGGGATAGGAGAATTCTCAACACATTCACTAGATATCCAGAGGTCATTTTACTGTGATATTCAAAATTATTGCATGCTTTTGATTTTCAGTGCAGATTTTGAATATTAACAAGTGAATTTACATAAATATCACATCACAGCACAGCATAGCATAGCAGCATGCTCCAAAAGGCAATCAGGACAGCATGGCAACAGCATGCTCCAAAGTGCAACAAAATGTCTGAATAAAATCATCATACATAAAAAACATTCGCTGAATATTTCTATTAATTCTTTTTCAATCTAAAAATATTTTGTATATTCAGCATTATACATATATTTACATATGGTATATTTAACGGAACAAATAAGGTCACTAATACCAATATCAGCATTTATATAACAAGAATTACTGTACCGTGTAACAGTAAATTGGCACTGCTGGAAAGTTTTGTCCGACATGAGAATGTTGACTTTAAGAGAGGGGTCTTGACATGATTTGAATTCACCCATTATGTGTTGTATGTTCTGTAGTTTGCCACATTTGCTAAATTAGAACCCCCAATTTGTTCACTGCTATGCAATTTCATAATTTCCCATGTGTGTTGCACATAAATATTTTTCTAAAAGCAAATGTCACATGTTAAATCAACAGTCACCATCATCATGCAGTATATGTGCTTGAATCACACGTAAACAAATAATGTATTATACATGTGTGGCATGGGACCCACATAACAAACAAAACATGGCCTGAGGACTGGTCAATTAAATCCAATTATCGATGAGCATTTTCACATATCTTCGGCATCTGTTTGACAATTGTAAGTTTCGGGATAAGTGAATAGTGATGAAGACCAATCTAGTGGAGATAATTGTTACAGCGGTGACAGACTTCGATAATAACCAAGCTCAGTTGATAAATCTTCAATATATTGCCCACTGGAATTCTGAAACACAAAGCAACATTTGCAATAAATGTGTGAATGTTAACACAAATTTTTGGAGTTGAGAATAAAAAAAAAGAACCATGATATTTGTATTTGCAGGCTCACATTATTTATACAATCCCAGGAAGCCAGACATGTTCTTGTATTACATATTTGCTCTTAGTAGCACATGATATTAGTCTATAATCAAAATAGTTGCGTTCACGCACAGCTCCTTAGCACGGGCTAAGAGGTCAAATTCCTTAGCCCGTGCTAAGAAAACGTGCGTGAACGCTTAGCACGGGCTAAGGAATGCTAAGTACAGGTTAAATCTGATCCGAATTTAAGACGCGGTCTAGACCCTTAGCACGGGCTAACGAAGTATGCACGAACGCTTAGCCCAGGGCTAAGCGCCCTCTGCGACGACTTTTGGGTGTGAAAATTGTCCCATGTTCGTATCCGCGGGGGCGGAGCTACGTCACAAGGCGTTTCATGTTGCTAAGATGCGCACCACTGTACATGCATTTCTATGGGCTCTGGGCGCGCTGCTGTGGAACGCCGTTCGAGCCGGTGAAAATTCGAGAAAACAACACAAACTCAACCTTGAAGTAATCCTGAACAACCAAATTTATATATGTTACACACTTAGGGCTAATCTTGTTACACTGTTCAGGGGACCCTCAACAACCATCCCAAAGTACCGTTTTCTGTGAGTTTTGGCCTTTGTTTTCACCACGAGGGTTGCCAGGCGATAGAAAATGCCCGAATGTCCGCCCCCGAGGATAACCATAGATCTAAGGTCTATGGTATAACGACTCTATTCCACCAGTCATTACTCCGGGCTCACTTCCACACTGATCGGGTCGCTGTAGTAGAGCGTACAGCAGCTCCAATTGTAGACAAAATAAATTTGGTTTGCTGTCTACGACATGCATTAATGAAACTCTGTATTCTGTTACGCCCGTTGTATACTGTTTCTGTGCATCCAAATAAGTTGGGTCCGTCTTCTCTCGCGTTCCTGTGCACGTTGCGAACGAAATTAGAACTTCGCGCGTGTCATCCATTTTTGTTGTAAATACCGGCTTACCAAAGGTCACCGACTAATGGCACCCCTTAGCCCGTGCTAACGACTGGCCCTCCCTGTGCGTGGACGCAATTGGGTCTAGCCGAAATGCAAATATGCTAGATAAGCCTAAATCAGCTTAAATCTTAGTCCGTACTTCGTGTAACGTGAACAAAACTAAAATGACATATTACAATGATTTAGCATACAATACATGCATGCTTTTATCAAAGATGCGCTTCTAATAGAGTAAATATGGTACATGTTGCACTTGTTTGTCATGATTGTTTCACAGTCAAAAAAGTAAATAAATATTTTACATAATTTGATGCATTTCCCCCACATTTATAAGTGCAGTCGTGGCATAAAAGCTCACTAATAATGTTAATTTGTCGACTCAAAGCAAGCGTTTTTGACCAAAGCAAATTTATATATGGGTGCTTATATTGTTTGGCAGTTTCTGAGAAATCATCTACGGGCAAAAGTCCGGATGCCGAGACAGGCACAAAACGCAGCACCATCATATTAGCTTATTGGACCTATGGTTGGTTAATAGTGTTAAAAATTGGTGCAACTGGGATGTTAGCAAAACTTCAATTTCCAAAAAGTTTGATGTCCCT